GGCCGAGAGGTGCTCGTAGCCGAGCGGATAGTTGGAGAGCACGGCCATCTCGTTCTTGGTCGCGACCCACTCGGCAATGACCACGTCGTCCCAATTTCGAGTAAACTGCACGTGCGCATCGACCATCATGCCAAATTCTTGATCGCCAAGCAGCGCGTGCAGCTGCGCGCGGGCGAGTGTCGGGCCTTTCGAGGTTGCCGCTGACCGCGCGTCGATCGTGATCTGCGATTTGTATCGGCACGCCTCGTGTGGCCACGTCTCATGCGCGCGTGCACAGTAGGCGTCAATACAGGTAACGTCATCGTCCAGTGTCTGGTCTACAATGCCAAAGAAGACGTTCTCGGGGTGGACCGCGCGCGAAAAGGCCGTCCAGAGCGCAAACCCGCACTTGAAGCCGTCGCGGTAGGCGGCGACGCCGACAAAGATGTCGCGCTTGTCCGTGAGCCGAGGCGGCGGCGGGCGGAGGTGCGCGAGGTCCTTGCGCAGAGGAATGTGCTGCACGGCAGTGTCGTAGATCGCCATGTACTCGACGCCGCGGACGTCGTACAAGAGCGTCTGCATCATGGGAGAAAGAAAAAAGTGCAATCTCACGGACCCAACGCCTGTGATTGGCTCGTTTTTGCGACGCGCCGTCACGCAACGCGATATCCTGTGGATTAATACAGACCTTCGAAGCCGTTGTCTCACTGTACAAATGCATTGCAATCCTCCATCAGTACGAAGGAACGACCGCCGCTCCGGTCTCGAAACTATCTTGTGTGGTTGCCTCCAGACTGCATGGACCGATCCACTCGAGGTCATGTCCACGACCGTTAGTCATCACGGAAAGCGTCGGACTGTACAGTACTGCGGCGCGCACGCAAGGGTGTCGGAGAGGCGTGGTGCGAGCTTGTCCCACAGCATCTTTTCAGCGTCGCATCGCGGAATGTCGCCAGCGATTCGAACGCGAGATGCTCAAATAGGAGAAGTGGGGCAATGAATGCCAACGCGACGAGCAAGAACGAAGGTCCTTGGACGCACGTGTGGCTGAATTTACGTCACCGTTTGCAGCAAGGAGACAACTGATGTCATCTTGGTCGCGTACATGCGGACATGTGATTGATAACGGTACACCATTACACATCTGATGCGGGTGCTCAAGGAGCATAAAATAGTGTTAACGGATGCCATCGATTGGGCGTTCGATGCCGCCGATCGTGCACGTCACCGCTGCTTCAATTTAACGTATCAGGCAAAAGGACGGACATGCAGAAAACGTCGCCACAGAGAACATTGTCATTCGAGAGCTTGCACAGAAGGCCGCCATTAGTTTGAACGGTCGTGGGTATCATGGCAAGACGATCTGAAATCTTTGTAGTTTCGCACTGGGGGAAAATACCGTGTTTGCCGCGATTGGATTGTGGCAAAATGAGGCTCAGCATCCAATTTGAATATGTTGAGCCGACTGCAGCCCTTTGAGCACCGAGTACGCCGCAGAGATCATCACGAGGTGGGACAGTCGAAATACGATCGAGCAGGATGCCAGGTATCGTGGTCTGTCGCCCATTTGACAAAAAGTTAAAGCGTCAAGCGACCGCAAGGCGTGTTGCCGAATCAACTTTGAAGTTGCTTCATTCGAATCATAGACTACACAGACTCTGCGTCGCACGCATGTTATACTGTCGTCAGCCCATCATCGATGTGTCATCGAGCAATCGAGCAAGCATAATGTTTCCTTGGGGCAATTTCGACCAATCAACGCTCATGAAACATCAAAAACCCACCTTCAACTTGGATTTGGCGCCAAAACGGCTCATTTTGACACGATTATAAATGTCGCCCAATCACAATCGGTGCCGATCTGGGAGCTGTCGCCTCCACTGACAATAATAGCGCAGCGTGGCAACGCATTTCAAGGCCCAACTCATTCTTCTTTTGACCGTGCGCTTCGCACCCGACCAAGAAGCTCCGCAACTCGCCACCCCGCCGCCATGCCCAAGAGCCCGAAAGCCAAGAGCCCCACGAACGCGAACGCGCCCGCGGCGGCGAGCCCCAAGGCGGGCAACGGTGGCAATGTCACCGAGGCGCTCAAGCAAGCCTTTACGACGGCGCCCGAAAACCTCGACGTCGCGGCCGCCAAGGTCGCCGACGTCATTGCCGGCGCCAAGGACGCCAACCTCGGCGCCGTCACGGATCAGCTCAACGCGGCGCTGGTCGACGCCGACGCAGGCACGCGCCAGAGTGCGTGTCACATCGTGACGGCGCTCGCCAAGAAGAAGCTCGCGCGTCTCGAGCCGTACCTCTCGCCGCTGCTCGGCAACGTCCTCGACGGCTACGCCGACAAGAAGATCCAGGTGCGCGGTCCTGCCGCCGAGGCCGCCAAGGCCATC